TCAACCACAACAACGGTCAACAACAACTATCCCAAGCCTTGGATACCACCATCCATCAACAATCGAAACCCGTCACCGATCCAGAATTCTTTGGCGCACTCTCCGACACACAACTCGTACAAGCGGCGGCCACGGCCAAAATCATTCCACGACAAGTACAGATTGTCATGGAACTCTACAAATTGCAGCAACTCCAAGAGTACCTACACTTTACAACCAACAACAGTGCCAGCCACAAACAAGAACTCGAAAAACGATTCCGGTTAATGGTCAAGAAACGACTCAACAAGGAACATCGAGAAGATTTGAGCAGATTTCGAACCAAGGCAGAAAAACAAGCCTTTCTAGAACAGGAATTCCAAAAGTGTCTTGCGGGCTACAACGAAATCCTGGCTCCCAAAAACAACAACCAAAAGAAGACGTCGTAGTTGGCTCTTCTCAAGCCAAACAACACATACCAAGACAATGGAGTGCTAACTGGCCGTGTTCAGGTCCTGTTAGTTAGAACTTTTTAGAAACTACAATTCGCTATAGTTACAAGGGCGTTATCCACTGACTGTACTGCTGTGAAGGCTTCCCCTTGTTGAGGGTTGTTGGATTGATGGAGCTCGTCGATTGTACTTCGGCTGTTTCAAGTTTCATTGCTTCCCGTTCCTTGGTGTCGACGACCCGAGCAAGCAACCGTGATCGACGCCTTTCAAGGGCCCTCAAGACCAATATGACAGACGTAGTGGAGCGCTGAGCCACATCGTGATGGATTCGATTCTTCAAGTTGTCACGCTGTCAATGCCGCAATTTTGTTTACGGGATTCTTGGACAAGGCATCACCTGCACACGACGAATCGCTTGAAGATTCATCAGACTCTTCGTCGATCTCGAGGTCGCTGATCGGTTTCTCGAGTCCTAGTTTCCGAGCCATGGACTGGGCTCGTTCAATGTCACCGTTACAGGCCTGGAGGACTGCAGTGTTGACACTGGCCATGACATCATCATCATCGCTTTCTCTTTCGGTCGGAATCGTCACCACCGTGTCCAGCTGAACTTTTGAAAAGACTCGTCGTGTGTCTACACCTTCTTCCTCCCGCAGGAGCCTCTCGAGTTCTTTGATTCTGTTCAACAGGGCTGCGGAGGACGACGCTGAATTTTCCACGGAAGAGCCATGTTGCAGGGACGAAGGAAAAGCTTTTGGGGCCGCCGGCTGCGAGAATCGGCTGTGGCGGGAGGAATTCTGATTGTTTCCAAATGGGCTGAGATTGGAGGAAGCCATGGAAGCAACAGAAGCAGCATCATCGGAGTCGTCAGCTGCTTCCTGTCGAAGGAGGGACTTTAGGAACAAACATGAGCAGCAAAGTTGACTCGGCAACCAGAAACAGCAGAATCGAGATCAAGAAGTATGATGCCACTGGCTCTTCGGCAAGCAGCATGATCAGCGGCACTCCAATGATTCCCACTTGGAGAATGCCCAGAAGATTGATAAACATGTAGCGAAATTCGCTAAGGTGTTCATTCAACCATCGTGCCCGGTACGCCTCTACGTTGGCCAAGATCAGAGCTGTGATATTGATGATTCCAATCAAGGACGCCATGGCCACGGAAACTTTGGTATCACCAGCCTTGCAATGGCCAACAGAGCTAAAATCTCCTGCTCCACAAACTTCCTCCCGACTGGGGTAATGCAGTGTAGGTTAGACAGATACGAATTGCCGCAAAGCAAAGGTAGTTCACGGCTTACCTGTAATACATGGGATCCACGCCAGTCCAAATGGCAAGAAACAGCACGTTGCCGACGGAGAGCCCCACAAGCGGAGCAATGACATGCCATGCTTGTATTTTGGTGCGGCGAAAATACTTTGCCGCAGTCATCAACTTGTTGATGCGCCAGATCTTGCAGAATATTCCGGCGTACATAATAGTGAAACCAAGGGCAACACACCATGGAATCGCCATACAAGCCTTTGAAGCACCTTCCGTGGAGGCAATGCTGTCATCAATGCCCAGTGGAAAGATTGCTGTGCAGCGATTGCAAGATCGGGAGAGGGCTGAGAAACATGGCGTGATGCAATCACTGCCAGCCCGAAGAGACCGCTCGCTTACCTGACACCATGCAAACCGCGCCAAAGCAAATCATGAGAAGGAACTCTGTACCAGTATCGGGGAGTGAAAGGGCACAATGCAAATATTTTAGTTTCGAAACATGTGTTGATCTGGAGGAGAAGAATACTTGGCCGTACCTGGCTGCGATTGAGCTACAACGCTGCTCCTTCGGTTCATGGCCATCCACACGATACAGGAAACTGCAGTTGCGATCACAATCGCTGCCAAAGTGTATCCAATAGGGCGTACATTGGTCAGTTGGTTCAAGTCGTAAAGAACTGGTGGAGGGCACACCGAGAATGACAAAGCTTGACATGACAGGTATTCTTTGGATGCCGACTCGAGGACGAGGGTTGGTCCAGTTTCAATGTAACGATTCTTCAAATGTTGGTTGGTGGTAGCAATCATCGTCAACAGCCAGACTGGTAAGTATCCTTGCAGGTACAAGCTCTGCAGCGTTCACAAAGAAGAACGTGAGACCAACACACTTTTGCTTGAGTAATATGGGGGCAGGACGCTCATGAATATGTACTGTATACTCACTTGATCAATGCCGAACATGATATCGTTGGTTGCCAAAGCATTATAGAGAGCCCCCGAGGTATCAAAGGCGCCAAACTGCATTCCAGGGTGATCTTGTCGCAGACCCAAAGTGGCGTCCACATACTTGGTACCTAGCTCGAGCATTCCAAGCCCATCCCATGTGTTGTCGCTCGTGTGATTCGCAACAAATTCTTTGACCGTGTGAATGAATCCAGCCACATTGTCCACTCCTACAATGGGTCTACCGAGGAATTCTACAGCTCCATTGGTTTCTCGAATGGCTGCTTCAAATCCTTTGCATCGCTCTGTGAGAGCCTTATTGTCTTGGTCTTGCCGGATACAAATGACTTTGTCAATGCCGTGCTGTGGCGACGCCATGTACTTTCCAGCGGCATACCCCGCCGTGTATTCGAGTTGTCCAATGTGATGTGGGAGTTGGAGCTCGTCTATTGCATACTCGGCTCCGGTATTGACCGACATGACGGGAATGTTCAAATCAAGGCATTCGCGAACTGCAGGGATGAGGGCCGTACTGGGTATGGAAACAAAGATACCGTGGACACCGGCACGACAGTAGCTAATGATTTTGCTGGCCATTTTGGCATGCATAACCTCGCTCGATTCTTGTCGATTGAATAGTTCAAACTGCAAATCCACTCCTGTGTCTAGACCGGCTTGCTGGACTTGCGCTTCGGTGAAACGTGCCCAGCCTTTGGTGTTGTCTCCATGAATGACCCCGGCAATGGTGATTTTGGATCGTTGTGTGCAAGGACATCCACCACCCAGTTTTATGGGAGCTTGTCCCGGGGCACAAACTGGAAATCCCTCTGCTTCGCATGCCTGTATGGTATCCGAAGGTAGTGTCTGCAGAGTGACAATGGACGGACCAGAGCTGTAGATCCCATATTTGCTCTGGCTGGGTGGAGCCAGTCGCTGACCAGTTGACACATAGGTAGCCGCCATAACGACAGGAAGGGTGCCTTGCAAGTGTTGCTGCTGGGAGACTGCAAAGGCCAGCTTTCCGACGGCAATGCTAGCATAGACGTCGGGAGTGGTATCAAAGGTTCCTACAAGAGTGGTGCTGGATAGTGCGCACCCATTGGCATAGAGGGCCGCCGTGGTAGCCTCGAGGACTGGTGAACCAATCAGGACCATGGTGGGGCATTTTTGCTGGAATGCTTTTGTTAGGTGTTGCAATGTTTCTTGGTCTGATTGTCCTTCTTTCAAGCGGACTTCGTTCACTTGTACACTAGGTATAGCCTCTGTGATGGATTCACGAAATCCATCAAATCTGGAGTCCATGGCCGTGTTTCCCGGCTGGTGGTTGACATAGACAGCGGATGTCTCATTATTATCATTGCCAACATTCTCGCCGACCTGCAGTAGATCTACAAACGTATTGGCTGCCTCTACGCCAGCTTCGTACTCATCCATGGATACAAATCCGTATAGTCCCAGATCCTGTGCCATTTCATAGCCACTGTTCATGCCAAAGACGGGTATTCCAGCTGCCAAGGCCGCTCGTATGCCATAATGAACCACTGGAGACGGGATGGATACAATGAGGGCATCAGGAGGGTCTTTTCCCGTGACAGCGTCTAGAATGTCAGACGCCATTCGGTGGTAGTCAACCTTGTCGTAGAGATCAAATCGAAAGTCAATGGACATGTCTTTGCCAGCCTGAACAGCGGCTGAGTGCACTTGATTCCAGAACAGCGAGTCCTTTGCACCGTGGGTAATAGCTCGAATATGGTAGGACGGACGCTCTATGCAGGGCTCACAGTTCAACCGAGGCCCAGGAGCATCCACAGCCAACGTAAGTGGAATGCTTGTAATCATGGCCAACAATGACATCCCAACTAATAATCTAGCAGCACCACTCATCATCTTGCAAGGTACCGTACTAGTATGCATTCGGTGGTCCTTCTGAATTCTGAAGGTACAGTAATACCTTTGGAGGGCAAAAAAGGGATCTGGTTATTATCGTAATGTATTATCTGCTTGGCTGCTTGGTGGTAGCTTGCGCTGCGGAAGCTAGCTAGCAGCTAGCGCTCGAACCTTGAGGTAGGATCGAGACGTGACCTATCGGAACCACGCATTTTAATTTTCACGCAATGCTCCTACTATTTTAATGTACAGAAGACAGAGTGGGGACTCCACTTCCTAACTGTATATCCTGTGAATTCCAGAGCTATTCCAGCCACCTCTCCCAGCAAGGCCAGCGCTTTGACTCATCTCGGAACACGTGGTTGATAAGTAGCTGGCATCGAAAGAATGGAGAGGTTCGGGAACAGATGGATAACTCTGTTTCATTCAGAAATGCCTTCAGTACTAATTCACAGAGAGAGGACCACTTTGTCTTCGTCATGTCTCTTTGAACAATCCAGTGAAGTATCCAACGCAATAAATATTCTTGGGTCTCAGATTCGTCTGCTGCACTTTGACCTTTATTTATTGGCTTGCATGTACTTTGAACTTCGCTTGCCAGTCCGCCTGTGTATTTCGAATTTCGAAGAAGGGTTCCCAGTGTGGACCTTTCAGTGAGTCGCTCTGCTTGGGCTCTTGGGCTGTACACCGGTACCGGTTACACACTGAAGCTTATGTTAAAGACTTAGTGACAGTCCCACTGCCACAGCACCAGAGCTCCAGGCAGCCAGGCAGAACAGAATCTGATGGATCATTCTGTTGCATTCAGAAATACCTTCAGTAATTGATTCGCTGTTAGAGAACCTCATTCTTTCATCATCCTTGAACAATCTTTTGGTGAAAGCTGTAACAAGAAGTAACAAACGCCATGGCTATTGTGCTTCTTCGGTTGGAATTAGAACCATAATTATTTTACTTGAAGTACTCCCTGGATCTTTCGAAGAAGGGTTCTTAAGTGTTGACCTTTCAGTAGGCTGCTCTGCTCCCCGGGCTGTACACCGGTACCGGTCGACACCGGTACCGGTCGGCTACTGGTGCATTGAAACAGGGAAGAAGAGCTCAAGACTGCTGAAGAAGTTTAAGTCAGCGGGAGCTGCGATACCTCGGCAGAAAGACAGATAGAAGAAGGAGGATTATGTTGGAGATTGCACCCATCTTTCAAGCTAGCCCTGGCGACAACACCCGACTACCTCGTGTGTTGCCGCCCGGTATCATTCATTCCCTCATTGCAACCTTCTTTATTAAGCTAGCCCTGGCGACAACACCCGACTACGTCGTGTGTTGCCGCCCGCTACTCTATAATTTACCAGCTGCCATTCCCTTATTGTAACTCTAACCTTTACAGCTCCTGCTGGCTTATTGTGCTGTTGTGCTGATTGCACTAACCTTAAATATTAATGATTTATTCCTACCCCTAACTTGTATTGAACCATCAATGTTCAGTTTTGTTGGCTTATGACTATCTCTATCCTTATACTTTGGCTTCACCGGAATAGGAAATAGGAAATAGAAAATAGGAAATAGGAAATAGGAAATAGCATTAAAGGGGTTGAGAACTCAGGCAGTTTACCTGCCGAGGTATTTAGCAACCTCCACTTCCATCTTCTTGAGTTCTTGAGAGAAGGCAAACAGGTTGCTTGGCTACTTGGGATGTAGAGGACGAGCGGAGTGCTCGTATGGACGCTTGATCTTTGTGTGACGGCCCAAGTCCCCTGGGTTGTGAAGGCTAGCGGATTGATTCCCATTCATCTCCTGCCATCTCAACTGAAGCCAGCATCATCCCAGCATCACCCTGTCCAACCTTCTTTGTACAGTTGTATGAGTGCTAGCATTTCTGGTCTGGTTGCAATTGGCCCAAGTGCCGGGTGTTCTGGGAGGGTGGCTAGTAGTACTTCATCTCCAATCAGGCTCAACTGAACTCGAAGTCCCTCCACTATCCACTACCACCCAACCTTCTCTGCGTGGCTGCATTGGGTGCTTCGGTCTTTGCTGTTCACAGTCCAAGTTTCGTGTCGCTTGTTCTGGGAGCGGGCGGCTGATTCATCTCCCGCAATCTCAAATACACCTGAGGTCGCCCCAGTAAGACCAAACAGCAAAGTCTGCCCTACCCCTGACGCAAACGTTTTTCTTTTCGTCCGCTTGAAGTTCTCGCAATCAAAATGATGAGGCATGGCCGAGACGTGTCAAGGTTTTCGTGGAGGGACAACGACAGCTGGTGGTGTGGGTTGGATGAGAGCTTCTTGGATGCTGCCTGACCTAGCTAGCTAGATGCCCCTTGGCTGGCTGTGAAGTTGCTTGGCTTTTGCGCTCCCGCTGCCATGGCGTGTAGCTTGCAACTGCAATTGTATCTACCGACAGCATTTGCCCCGGAGTGACCTCCCTTGTCGCCAAGGCCGGAGCCCGAGTGTGTCTAAGTCTGAGACTATCGAACGTCAGCTATCCAGGTAGCAACGGTATTGTTTGCTTGCTAGAGTGCGCTAGTTTGCCAGAGCCAAAGAGTCAAGAAGAAACGGTGCACGGAACGTCACTTTGCTGTTGCCCTTTGAGTGCATGGTGTATGTTTGGGCTGCTTGGGCTGGTCCCAAGTTTAGCCTTCAGAGAAAGCTGTTCTGAGCGATCACCATTGCCTGATCTGCTTCTTTCATCCTGGTTTCAAGCTCTGTCCCGACAATGTCAGACACTTCACGTTGACTTGGGTTAGCTGCTGGGTGTGGGGCTCGGTCTTTCTGCTCGAGCAAGTGACTAGCGTTCGTACATTATGAGATTCGAAAGCTGTGCTATTATATTTTTTCGGCAGTCCTATACAGCTAGAATGGCTCGCAGCTGTCTATGCAACATATAGTCCTTCAGAGGCATTTTGTATGATTTCGACGTGATTGTAGAATACGAAGGACGCTCTCCTTCGTTCCTCCCGTCGCCTTTCATCCAACGTTGCACCACCCATCCATACTACCATCCATACTACAAGACAGACATGATAGACAGATATCTATTGATTCACTTCCGAGGTATCAATGACGAGAGGATCGTACTGATCATAAACACTTCGTACAGCGAATTGACTGGTACTTCCAAAAACGATTTCCCAATCCTTGACCAATGACATTTGTTTGGTGGGTCCACCTCGTGCGACATAGCTCTGATAATAGTCGGTCAAATCTCCTTGAAGGGAGTGTTTGGGGCCAGTCCATCCCAAGGTTTGCTTGGCCATGTCGGGTGCCACGTAAAAGTCGGTCATTCGAAAGGGAAAGGTGGCCTTGCCAAAAAGGTCGGCGTCGTACAATTCAATATTGACGCTTGCGGGATCCTTCCCGGCCGCTTCGGCACACATCATGGCGACATCGGTGTATGTGTGCAATTGATCGGTCCCGCAATTGAAGAATCGTTGTGACACGGCGGCTTGTTCGTCGTTGAGTACGGATGCCAAGAGGGACGCGACATCTTCGGCATTGGTGAGGGATACCTTTTGGGTTCCATCGGCGGGAATGGGCAAGGGCAAGTCTCGCACCAACCTATCAAAGTACCAATCAATGTAATCGTGTTTGTTGGATTTGGGTCCGTAAATGTACTGTGGACGAAAGGAGACGAGTGGCAATCCCAAGTCGACGGCGTATTGATCTTGTTTTGCCTGTCCGGCCGAGTCTTTGATGGGTGTGGTTTCGGGCATGGGGAATTGTGTGGGGTTCTGGTACATACCGGCGGAACTCACGTAGGTGTATAGCTTAACGCCCCATTCTTTGGCACAGTCGCAAATGGCCTTTCCGGCTCCCTCTGGCTTTTTGGAGGCATTGTCCCACACATAGTCAAAGGAAGCTCCTCCTAGGAGTTCCTTCATGGCATCGGCAGTCATGGAATCGTCACTGCTCAGGGGGGCCTTGACAATCTTAACATTAGGGATATCGGTGGCGTAGCTGCAGAAGGGTTCACTGGAATCTTTGCAGGCGTCATCTTGCAAAATGGTAATGGACGAAATTTTCGGATGATCCGTCAACGTTTTAGCCAGTTGGAATCCTGTATATCACATTTAAATAATAGATAAGGCAAGGTAAGGTAAGATACGGTAGGTTAAGTTGGTTAAGGAGGAAGAAATGAGATACCCAAATGGAAATTTTCAAATTATACCCAAAGCACACACAATAACCAATACTAGCTAGTAAGTAAGTGAATCATTTTCAGCTTTCCCGAGTTTATTCTGCTGCTTACCTAACTCTCCGTGACCTCCTCCCTTATTCTGGACAATGAGAGCCGCGCTCATGCAGAGACTGCTCTTGCCAGAGCGAACGCCTGAACGGGAAACTGGGGTAAACGCATGGCCAGTGGACAGCAGCACGGATGCTGACACTAACAGCACTAAAGAGCTATTGATGAATCTCATGGTAACACAGTTTCTAATACTGCTTGTACCGGTACAAGGACGTCAAGTCGATTGTATGAGGATACAAAGTCAGGGTCGGCGGTTGCTTGTGGGCAAAGATTCGATTCGATTCGCTTGACGCAATGACGCCGTTGCCATGGGCTTGAAAGGGGCGAGAAAAATGAGGTCAGAAGTAAGTCCAACGCGTACGTCATTGGTGACTTAGTTTATGCTTAACCCAAAATCTGACTTTGGTTGGATCGCGCACCTTGTCGTGGGAGTCACTTTTTGCCAGATGCTCCATGCTCACAGCACCCCAATGACAAGAAAGGTACCGGTATACGATTTATCAACAATGCAATGACTCCATCTCCATCAGACAAAGACGACGATGATCAGGAAAAGGAAGAAGACGATGAGGAAGACGAGTTCTTACCGGAGCACACGATTGCCATGCGCAAAGCGCTTCAGTTTTGCAAGGATCGATTCTCTCTGTTGCACGACCACAAGAACAATAAGAACGGTGTCGCTGTTGGTTCAGCAAAAGACAAAGACGAAGCAGAGGATTCACCGCTGGCAGTAATAGACATCAAGGACAAGGCCCTGATTCAGTCAGCCATGACGATTCCTCAACAACGTCAAGAAGCACTCAACAATTTCTGGAAGCAACAGATACATGTACCTGCTGAAGAAAATGCTACCGCAACTTCAACAATGGTATTGGACACGGTTCATCATGGAGTCTCGACGACGAGTGACTGTCCTCTTACCCCTCTGGAGTTTCGTCAACGCTATCAACATGCCAATCTACCCTGTCTCATCAAGAACCTAGAAGTTGAGTACTTCCCCTATGTTTGTTCCCACTGGCGTCAACCACTTCAATCCGACAACCAATCCAGTCAGGGAGAACGTCTCGAGCCAAAATTTAGCATTGATCAAACCTGGTTCCAACGAACTCTGGGAGAAACCACCATGGTACCTGTGCGATATCAACCAGCGTTGTCTTCCTCGACTATTAATAATCGTACCTCCACGTCTTTACAAATGCTGGATGAAGAGGGGAGAGCTCAAGAATGCCAAACCAAAGAAATGATACTTCAGGATTGGATTCAGAAGCTTGCTCAAGTCAAGGATTGCCAAGATACAAAGAATCCCAACACGCACGAACAACAAAAACACTCTACTAGTGAATACTATCTCAAGGACTGGCATCTGCAAGCTTGGATCTGTGATAAAAACCACCAACATACTACTACTACTTGCATACCACAACAGTTGTATCATGTACCACCCTACTTTGAGTTTGATTTGCTCAATGCCTTTCTCACAAAGTTTACAGAAAAGGGAGACTACATGTTCACCTATTGGGGACCCACAGGCTCGCAAACGGCGTTGCATTCCGACGTCATGAATTCCTTCTCGTGGTCCTTTAATGTCGCTGGAACCAAACTATGGACCTTTTACCCACCAGCACAGGAACCAACCAACAACTCGAGCTGTGGAAATAAAAATCATAATCCATCTCCGCTCACGATTCTACAACAGACTGGAGATTGTCTCTTTGTTCCCAGTGGATGGAATCACCAGGTTGTCAATCTAGAGGAAACCATTTCCATCAATCACAACTGGATCACGACGGCAAACATTGATCGAGTTTGGGATTGCTTGTGCCAGGAAATGAAAGCCATTGAAATCGAGTTGGACGCGTGGAATTTATTGGCAGCAGACGATGCCAGGGAATCCATGCTGCTGGGATGCGTCGGTCTTGATGTGACGGCCTTTTTCTTTCTCATTTTAACCCGGCTATTGGAACTGCACGACAATCATCTACAGAAGAGAACACCATTAAGCGAGGGAACTTGCGGGGATTCCAAAGATGAGGACGAGCTCTGGCAGCAGCACTTTGACTTGATTCGACTCAACTTTGCGTTGCTCAAGCTCATGCCTTCCTCGTCGTCATCAACTGGGGAGGGAAATGATGCACTTGGTCTACAAGGGAGATTGGCAGCCGTTTTGGGTTCCGTCGAATCGGCAATCGAAGCGCTGGAAATTGCGGAATGCGTTGCTCGTGCAACCAGATACAACATGGAAGGCGCAACAACGAAGGACTCAACATGATCACGATCACGGACATGGCTTTGCATAGTGACATGTGGGAATGGCTCACTCGATCGATGGCAAAGAAAGAGGCTACGCAATCCAGAACAGAATTTTTGCCACGTGTTGAATTTGAGATCTTTTTGGTGATTCATTTGAGGTTTTCGTGTGAAGATACTTCGTGAGAAGACACAGTGACATGCAATTCTTCTCACTCCATGATCAGTAAGTGGAACCATGGCGACCAGAGACACGGACCGAGAACAGCTCCGCCCCCACCAAGGGGATTGCTTTTTCCAGGCAAAGGAAAAGAACACGATAGTTTGCCTGGACACAGGAGAAGGAAAGACTTTGATTGCGGTACGCCTCATTGAGCACTTTCTGAGATTTCATCGAGGCAAACGCGCGGTATTTCTCGTTCCGACGCTAGCTTTAGTAGATCAACAAGCCGACTACTTGAGGCGGGAATGCCTCATACCAACAATAGATGGCGATGACGACTCATCTGTATTGGCAACACCAGAGATATTGTTGATTGAGGGCGAAAAGCAAGCAGGTTGGGAGAAGTTAGAATGGCAGAAAGCTATCAGAGAAAATGATATCCTTCTTGGCACCCCGGCAGTTTTTCTAAGGGCGGCAACACATAACTTTATCTCGATCGACCAATTCTGTGTTCTTGTCTTTGACGAGTGCCAGCACGCCAAGAAGAACTCTGCGATGGCTTCCATCATGCGCGATGCCGTTCATCCATATTGGAAGAAATCTAAATCCAAGCTCCCACGGATTCTTGGTCTGACCGCGTCATTCGCCTACGGCGGAGACGGCGACCTCAAGGGAGAGCGCCGCAACCTGGAAGCCTTGATGAATTCCACCATAATCTGCCCTGACGTTGCGCCTAGATTCGATGAGGATTGCTTTCGAAAGATTGAATTTGGCAGCGACGAGCATCACTCTCAGCAGCACATCGATGAGATTGATACATTGCTAGAAGCAGCACTGAGGAAGCTCGGACGTGTCACGGGAATCAAGAAGGCTGTGAAACAATGCATTCATGTATTCAAGGAACTTGGCCGAGAAAGTCTGTTGTTTTATGTCCAGCATGCAATCATGAGCCAAATCGTCGACAAGATTGCAAATCTAGATAGTTTGGACGATGAAAACACGCAGAGAGCCGCACAAACTTTGCGTTCCAGGCTCCCTGATCTACGATGTGAGATGCAGCAGCTTGATGATAGACTTCGTGAGACGTTTACTACGGATTATGTTCCCCGGACGCCAAAGCTACAATGTCTTCTGGAGTTACTACAAAGAAACTTTTCTTGCCACGACAACGATAGTAGCTATAGAGGCATGGTGTTCGTCCAGGAGATCTCGCTTGTTTCGACTGTTGCCCATCAAATCAACGAGTTCTTCAGCGGTTCAAATTGGCTGTGCGGTGTGCTCGCCGGGACCAAAGCTCAGACAAAGGAAAACAGAAAGGAAAACTTGGAATGCTTCCGAAAAGGGGTGGCTCGCATTCTTGTGTCTTCTTCTGCGGGTGAAGAGGGGCTCGATGTTCCCGAGTGTCAGTTCGTGATTCTCTATTCAAAACTCCCGACGACCAAAAGCCAAATCCAACGAATCGGTCGCGTCAGGAGTGCAAACGCCGAGCTCTACTACATGGAGAACGACCCGAACACTGAACGACGCAAAGCGGCGCAAATGGCAGCAGTCGCAAGGGACACATCACTGAACCTGAGCCCGGAGAAATTGAAGAGTCAGAGCGAGGGAATGACTGTAGTGACTCATGTTCACCCATATCCCCCAGGCACGGAGACCTCTGCAAACGAAGGAGGCGGAATCATCAATGTCTTCAACTGCAAAGAAATCTTTGTTCAGTATTGCTCGAGGGTTCTAGCACAATCCATCAACCCCAGTATGGAATTGTATGATTACACGACAATCCCTGGTCACCAGCAAGAGGTCCTCCAAAATGTGAGATACCCGACACCCGAGGCTTGGAAGACAGTCAGAAGAGAAGAGATGTATGACTATTGGAAGGGGTCGGATGTGAAGAATGTCCTACTGCAGGAACGGTGCAAAGGAAAATCCCCCTCTGAGAAGGATGAGATGCTGTTCGTGTACGTTGTGGCAGTGAAACTCCGAATGGAAGGCCTTCTGGATGATCACAACAAGCCATCAAACTTTGCCAAGAACTACACAAAGTCAAAGTGCCCCCTTCGCAGCAGCTTCGCTCCCGAGAGCATTGCATTGAATCGACGAGTCACCTTTAAAGCTGCGACAAGAAATCATGTTGCTTCTACCAGGGGAGAAATCTCTTTGGAAGGGTCTGATGCACTCTTTAGGAATTACCTGAGGACTGTATTCGACAAGGAATTCCTGAATACTATGTTCGACTTGAACGAAGATATACCAACCGAAGACCTTTTCCATTATCGCCTGGATGGACGAGCAAAGCCGATTCCTGCCGGGCTGTTCTGTCCCACCCCTCGGGGTTGGGAGGAAATCTCGCTGGAAGACTACAGAGAAACGTTCGAAAACATGGACTTGGCCGATCAGCTTTCCGTGACCAAGTCCAGAGGCCGCACAGAGAAGATGCAGAAAGCTTTTGTATACTTGGCCGTCAAACGACTTCACGAGTTCGGCTATTTGAACGAGAACTATGTGCCCATCCTACATGCGACAGCACTCACGGTGACGAGGAAGAGCTGCAAGCTGCGTGTTGAAGATGGAACCTTTGTTCCGACGACTATTGGTGTGCCAGTCGCGTTGTCCTTGTCAGAAGCTTCTACGCCAAGTGGTATTCCCATGTCGGAGGTCATGAGCGAACGTGTAGAAGAGGAAAGCGTGCCTGCCCTGTCTGAAACAATGATCAGTGTGTCGTCTGACGAAGATAGCAGAGCTTCGGAGGTGTTCGCTAACCCTTCCTCCATCGACGTCGACGGACTCGAAGACGCAGACATGGAAGAAGCCTTCGACCAGATGGTACCGGCGCCCACAGGGAACGGCCAAGGAGGCATTTTTGATGATGCCGATGACTGCTCGTCACTCTAACCGAGCTAGGTATTTGGAGGGTCTAGCTTCGCACGAGAAAATAGGAGATTGGCAATTCGCCATTTGTGATGGTCCTGCACGTGGTGGGGCCACTCTAGGATTGTTTTGAGAGTGCAATGTCGTTGGCGTTGACTTCTTTCACGAGAGTTGGTGTTGCATCCTCGTTCCTTGTGTTTTATTTTTAAAAGCTGCTTCCAGTTCATGTCGATCGAATCAGAAGCTTTAGCCTCGCTTGGCGGGCTCTCGTTTGTCGATCTAATCTAAACTACATGTAGACAATATAAATAGTATTGAATGGAATCAGTCTGGTCCTAGAGCAAATCGGTTGGCGGCTACGGCTGGAGCTGAGGCTCTTGAAAACTGTGTCTTCAGCCATCAACCGCGGGCAGCCACAGTCCCGTACGGTACGAATCGAATCAATCGACTCACTCATCGTGATTGAATCATTCCTACAAGCGAGCCAACCGCGGTACAGTCGTACAGCTCTTTAGCACGAGAACGAGCAGAAGGCGTCGGCAACTCGGTAACCGGACTACCAGGTACCACTCTTCTCCCCTTGGCTGACAAGCCACGGCAGCCACAAATTGGCCGTTGCAGATGTACTAGTAGATGTAGTGGAGCTGGGTCGAACAGGGAGGCCATCGTAGAGCTGAACTCTTTCAGGGCACAGGTACCATATGACGCACCTCCTCAATGGTTGTTACATGATGCTTAGAGCAATGCCACAACTGCATGGAACAATCGATCAAGTGGCTGTGCTGGGTCTGGGCTGCCCAGTATCACTGTGAAGAATCGACAAGGACGCAACATGTGTGAAGGTCCCGTAAGATTGGAAACCCCACAAGGTATTTCCTCAGGCAGCCGCCAGTGGCATCCTTGTTTGCTCGGAGTCCAATGGAGACATTGGCTCTGATAGAGCAAGCAGCTACTAGTTAACAAGCGGAAAACCCAGCAGCTTGGTTGCGAGTTGCGAGGCCTCTGCATCTGCATCTGCATGGTTGGATGGCAAGTTTCCAACCGATGAGAAATTTCGTCAAGAGGTTGAGTACGGTTGGTGTTTCTACACTGTGGCTGGCGGGAGGAGCGTGTCCAAAACAACTATGCAAGTTGCCGCCAAGAACATCCTTCGGCAAGCCATGTCTCCAAAGGCAAGCATAATGATATGCTCCCGCTAGCTAGCATGTGGGCGCTTCGTAGCCAGTGGAACGTATGCAGTGTGCTGGTTTTAAAATATATCTAGCTAGGTTTGACCGATAGATCTAGCTATTGCAATAGTTATCATCTGAGCGGCCGAATGGACAGAGAGCGGGTGGCCTCAATTGCTATCAGAGTGGGTCGGAACGTCGGAACCAAGCCAGCACCGGAAAAGGGAGTTGTTGGCCTATTGGCATGGAACCCAAGTCATCTTTGCCTTGTCCTCCTTTCGAATCCACTTGCCCGCGTCAAAAGGCTTCCCACAAAGACCCCAGCATTCCGAAGAGTTGGTGGTTTATCCATCGAGCCCAATAATGAATAATCTACCAACTGGCACATCCTGGGTTGATGAAGAAGAGAAAAGACCGAGGTCTGGTCGTTGAATTCGTCTTAGTGTGTTTCAGTAGTACTCATCAAGAGTCACAAGCTTCCCCGGCACTTGCTGCTCCTAACTATTTGGTTTGGTCCAGACATTCATGAACTGCAACTAACTAGTTCGTCTTCAAGATGATTGGTTGGGCCAATCTAGCTGGTAGCTAGCTAGTAGAGCTCTAGCTAGATCCGTAGATCCTCCCGGAAGGGAGCCAGGCCATTCCAACAACTGCTGACTGACCGCTGACTGATACCGTCTTGGGCCCGTCTATGACGTTTTCAAGCTGGTGGTTATGACTGCTTATCCATTGGGCCCTTTTCTCCCGTTCTCGATGACCCCATCCGATGACTACATCCTTAAACACGTTTTTCCTTACCAGTCAAGATCGACTACTATATGGTAAAAAGTAGTAAAAGACGCCCACGGCGGTATCTCGAACGATCAAAAGCATTCCATCTACCGCGCACCGTTGGCCAGCAGTGCAGTTCGGCACTGGTTGGACGGTGATAGTTGCATGCGGTCTTTTCTACGTTCAACTGCAGTAGCAACCTTGTGACCCGATCTTGGCTGCCTTGCTTGCCGCCATCGTTGGCTGGGTTGCTGGCTAAACGCAGCTTTCGCACTGAAAGGCAAGCATGGAATGCTCATAATTTGTTTCTTCGAACAACATTATCCTTTTTTTGTGTACAACAACCACTACAACTACACTACTATACTACTATACCAAACATGAAGTATTCCACCCTTCTTTCCCTTGCCCTGGTCGGATCCGCAGAGGCCTTCCGTACCCAAGCAACCAAGAAGCAACCGCGCAAGCTCGAGGAATGTAACAACGCCCCCGATATCTTCACGGACGACTACACCACCTTCGGAGCTACCTACAAAGTCAATTCCTACAGGGGTAATCCCAACTGCCAAGACTTGGGATTTGCCTATGGATAGATCAATGAAATCCTCCCAAGTGTCTTGTGGTGCTTGCGGTTGTGCTCAACGGGCAATCCGTTGATCAAGAAAGTCTGGACATCGTTCTCAAACTCGAGGACATCATCTCCAATCTGGACAGCAATCTTGGAGATGTAGCTGAAGTACTTGACACGAGTGGTTCGGATGTGGATCTTGAGGCCTTGGTTGTCATTGAACTTGGGGTTGTCGACCAAGACTAAGATCACACTCTCCATGGTAGTCGAACTTGTCTCCAGGCCAGGTCTTGAAGTGAGGATCTCCACTGCCACTTCCGGGGGTGGGCTTCTCATAGCCAGTGGTGGGTCCACTTCTCTCGTTGCTGTGGTGGGGAGCTTGGGTGGGAGATGATGTGGGGGCCGGACAGCTACAGAGGCCAGGGACAGTGTGGACGTTCATCTCAGAGATAATGGTCTGGTTGGTGATGACCTCACCCTCGTCGATGACATGACAAGAGGGATTTGTTCATTGGGGTCAGAGCAGTCAATAGTGTATCCATTACCGTTAGCAATAGCTTGGTCACGGACCCATCGCGCAACACACTCGTGTCGGTAGGTCTCATAATCAGTACCGGTACCGTTGATGTTATCAACAAGACCCCAGATACCTCCTTGGATTTCGAGCCAGTTGACAGTTCCAGTACATTGTTCTCCTTGGACCACTTCATCGACAGTGTCTCCAATGGCAATGTTGTTGATCAACCATGCCAAGTTGGGGAGCATGTCGTGCTTGTCCAAAGCAGCGGCAGGGATGGCATCAGAGCCAAAACTGAAGATATCAACATCCCAGTCTTGGGTACCAATGAGACGGTCCCAGTCAATGCACCATCCATCAGTGAAAGTTTTGCCTCCGTACTGGGGATCATCAAGGGTGATGTTGAAGTGGGCAGCCTCTTGTTGGGGGAACATCTCAACGTGGATGGAAACCTCAGCGGGAGAAGTGGCAACATCGTGGTCGACGACCCATTCATATTCACACTCGACGGTAGGAGCAGCAGTCTCTGGGGTCTCTGGTTCGCTTCCACACTCGTCACAGACATAGCAGAACTCGATGTGGCTGATTCCCTTGGATTGACCGACATCAAGGTAGTAAGTGGTACCAGCAGTCAAGGTGTAGACGGCTCCTCCGTTTCCTCCCTTCATGATGACGTAGGAATCAGTGGTGGCAGTGTATTCGACGCTCTTGTATTCACCACCATCGTCGATGCACTTGGTGGTGAAGGTTCCAGAGGGAGTAGTGCCAGAAGCGCAGTCACCCTGTGTCTTGGCGTACTTGATGGAGCTGTCTTCGGTGCCAAAGGGATGGTCGGTGGCATCAAAGCATCGCTCATCCATCTTGT